ATTAGGGTTTCCTTCGAGAGAAGCAGGAGAGAATCTCGCGCTCGATCCACCAACAAGTGGTATCAGAGCCGGGTCGTCGACGAATAAGGCTTAACAACCTCCGACGAGAATGGGTTCGAGCGCAGGCAATGGAAGTGGAGTTTACATGGCGGACGGATTCTCGCAGACGCGTCCCCCCAGGTTCGAGGGCGTTAACTATGGATACTGGAGAAACCGAATGGAGCTGTTCATCGGCTCCACAGATCCTGATTTGTGGAACATCGTGCTTGACGGACCGCTGGAAGTCAAGGAAGTGAGGGGTAGGTGGTCCGAACAGGACAAGAAGAATTTTCAACTGAACTCCAAAGCCACAAATCTGATGTACTGCGCCTTGGGGCCTGAAGAGTATCATCGAGTGACTGGGTGCAAGTCAGCCAAGGAAATCTGGGATAAACTCCAGATTGCACATGAAGGCACATCCCATGTCAAGATCTCGAGGATAAACAGCTTAAAGCAAGAGTTCGAGTCCTTCGTTATGAAGCCGGATTAATCTATCAAAGAAATGAATGATAGATTCATGAACATCGTCAACAGTCTCAGAAACTTGGAGGTCGATTATCCAAGTGGCGATTTGGTAAGGAAAATTCTCTGGGCCTTACCCAAAAGATGGACACCAAAGGTCACAGCCATCGAAGAATCGAAGGACTTGACTAAGCTGAGTCTTGATGAGTTGATGGGATCGCTGGTGACTCACGAAGAAAAGCTCAGAAGAGAAGAAGGTGAAGATTCGCGAAGAGAAAAGAAAGGAATTGCATTCAAAGCAATTTCCCATGGAGATGAACTGGATACATTTGAAGAACTCGAAGACGAAGAGCTGGCACTGCTCAGTAAGCACGTGGCTAAGTTGCTTCGACTTAGGAAGGAGAGGAGAAGAGGAGCTCTGGTCAACAAAGTGAAGGATGCAGACAGCGAGAAAGATCAACTCAAGTATTCCAGAACAAGTGGAAGGAAGAATAATGCTGACAGATCAAGTTCTCAGGGAGGATGCTTTAAATGTGGACGCACAGGCCACATTAAGGCAGAATGTCCTCAGCTGAAAAAGGAACGAGCATATACAGCCACCTGGAGCTGCAGCGAGGAAGAAGAAGAGGATTCAGACCCAAGCTGCAAGCAGGAAGCCTTCATGGCAATTGACAACAGTGATGAGGAAAGCGATGTACCTAAGGTAACTCTGCCCAATTATTACTCTGATTACTATAGTGAAAATGATCAGATGATTGAAACGATTAGGGAAATACAAATTGAATTTGGGAATGTCAAGAACAGACACAACAAACTAAAAAGGGAGCATCTTGAACTACAAGAAAACTATCAGAAGTTGTTAAATGACAAACTTGTTGTTGACTTGGAGTTAGAAGAATGTAAAAAACTGTGTGAAGCGTTAGAAAACAAGATAGCTACTGTTAATAAAAGAAACCAATGTCAACACAGTACAGAACTGTATCTTAAAGAAAAACACAGTAAGACAGGAGGAGTCGAGTGTTTTTACTGTCACCAAAGGGGTCATTACATAGCAAACTGTAAAAGAAGAATGGCCAGGGAAGAAAGAATAAAGAACTTGTCATGTTTTCTGTGTCACAAATCGGGTCATGTTAAAAGAAACTGTCCTAAAGAAGAAATAAAACTAGGAGTATCCAAACGTGTTTGGATACCAAAACTGAAATAATTGCTTCTGTAACCAGGTCTGTCTCCAAGTGGGCATGGAAGACAGTGAGTGGATCCTGGACAGCGGTTGCTCACACCATATGACTGGAAATGAGAATCTCTTCACACACCTTCATAAGTTTAAAAAGGGTAAAGTTTACTTTGGTGACAATTACAGTACAGATATCATAGGTAGAGGTCAAGTAGGGTCAAATCCTTCCATAAAAAACGTCATGCTGGTTAAAGGGCTAAAACACAACCTGTTTTCTATTAGTCAGATGTGTGGGGAATCCAATAGAGTCGTATTTGAACCTGATAGTTGCTATGTTGAAAACATTTTTGACAATCACATTCTTTTCACTGGTAAAAGGAAGGGAAAATTGTTTTGTATAGACTTAAACGACAAGAGTATGTTTAATGAAACTTGTTTGATGACAGTTGATAAGAATGATCAATTAGACTGGCATAGGAGGTTAGGTCATGTGGGAATTGGAACTCTTTCGAAATTAGTAAGTCAGGATTTGGTGACAGGAATTCCTAAATTACAGTACAAGAAAGAATTCTTTTGCGAAGCCTGTACAAAGGGAAAACAAGTCAGAAGTACTTTTAAAAGTAAACAAGTCATCTCAACCTGTAGAGTTTTAGAACTTCTTCATTTAGACTTGTTTGGTCCTTGCAATGTTAAAAGCCTTGGTGGAAAGTTCTACGCTTTTGTTATAGTGGATGATTACTCAAGATATACTTGGGTAACATTTCTATCAAATAAAAGTGATGCCTTTCAGAACTTTAAAACTTTAATCAAGAGACTGGAAAATGAAAAGCAGCTGAAGGTAGTCAGTATAAGGAGTGATCATGGAGGGGAATTTGTGTCTGAAGAGTTTGAAATCTTTTGTAATGAGTCTGGTATATCCCACAACTTCTCTGCCCCTAGGACTCCTCAGCAAAATGGAGTTGTGGAGAGAAAGAATAGGACATTAATTGATATTGCTAGGACAATGCTTAACGATTATGGAACATCTAAACAGTTTTGGGCTGAGGCTATTAATACTGCATGTTATGTGGTTAACAGGGCTTTGATTAGATCCAAGTTGAACAAAACCCCTTATGAACTCTGGAAAGGGAGAAAGCCAAACTTAGGATACTTTCATCCTTTCGGATGCAAGTGTTTTGTCTTGAACACTAAAGATAAACTCGGAAAATTTGACTCTAAATCAGATGAAGCCTTGTTTCTAGGTTACTCAACTCATAGTAGGGCTTATAGAATATTTAATCGTCGGACCCTCAAAGTTGAGGAGTCCATTAATGTTGTGTTTGATGAATCTGTGAGTATGAGTACAGCTACTGTTGAGGAGGAAGATGATCTGGGATTGACCAGCTCATCTGGTGTGTTACTGGACAAGCAAGAACCGATAAATGGTGAAAGCAGAGAAACAATGACTGCTGCTGGTGACACTTCGAAAGAAATACAAGCACCCCTTCACATACAGAAGCGACATCCAGTCTCACAGGTGATTGGAAACATAAACCAAGGTATGACCACTAGATCACAAGCTGCTTCTGTTCATACTGCCTTTGTGTCACTGGTAGTGCCTAGAAATATTGATGAAGCTTTAATGGATGAATTTTGGAACGCATCTATGCAAGATGAGTTAGGTCAGTTTGAGAGAATTAAAGTCTGGGACTTGGTCCCTAAGCCTGAAAACAGAACACCTCTAGGAACTAAATGGATTTATAAAAACAAGTCAGATGAGATAGGTAATGTAACTCGAAACAAATCCAGACTGGTTGTACAAGGGTACAGTCAGGAGGAAGGGTTGGATTTTGATGAAACCTTTGCCCCAGTGGCTAGGTTAGAAGCTGTAAGACTGATGTGTGCTTATGCAGCCTCTAAGGGGTTTAAACTCTATCAAATGGACGTGAAAAGTGCATTTTTAAACGGGGATTTGAAAGAAGAGGTTTATGTCACTCAGCCACCCGGTTTTGAAAATCACCAGTTCCCTGATCATGTGTATAAATTGAACAAAGCCTTGTATGGGCTTAAACAGGCTCCTAGAGCCTGGTACGATAAGCTTAGCTCGTTTTTAACTGATGATGGGTTTCACAGAGGGTCTGTGGACAAAACTCTGTTTATTAAAACAAAAGGAGACCATACTATACTGGTACAGGTCTATGTAGATGATATCATCTTTGGGTCAACTAGTGTAGAACTGTGTAAAGATTTTGAAATCTCAATGAAAAACACCTTTGAAATGAGCATGATGGGGGAATTAAGCTATTTTCTAGGGCTCCAAGTCAAACAAACTACTTCTGGGATTTTTGTCAGTCAAACCAAATATTTGATCAATATGCTTAAGAGATTTGATCTTGGTAATATGAAGACAGCGGTTACTCCTATGGGGTCAACTGCCAAACTCTCTAAGGATGAGTCAGGGGCTAGAATAAATGATCGAATGTTTCGTGGTATGATAGGATCCTTGTTGTATTTGACTGCAAGTCGTCCAGACATTTTGTACAGTGTCTGTGTTTGTGCCAGATTTCAGAGTTCTCCCAGAGCTAGCCATTTGTCGGCTGTAAAAAGAATTTTTAGGTACTTAGCAGGAACCACAACCCTGGGGTTGTGGTACTCTAAGGATTCTAGTCTCGAGTTGATAGGTTATAGTGATGCCGACTTTGCAGGGTGTATAGTTGACAGAAAAAGTACATCAGGGACGTGTCATTTCCTCGGCACTTCCCTGGTTTCTTGGTCTAGCAAGAAACAAAACTCAGTGGCTCTTTCAACTGCTGAGGCTGAGTATGTGGCAGCAGGCCTGTGCTGTTCACAAGCCTTATGGCTTAAATCTCAGTTGTCAGATTATGGACTTTCTCTTAAAACTCTTCCCGTGCTTTGTGACAACACGAGCGCCATAAACATGTCAAAAAACCCTATTCAGCACTCTCGTACCAAACATATCGAGATTAGATATCACTTCATTAGGGATTTGGTTCAGGAAGGGAAAGTTCAGCTGGAATTTATAGGGACTGATATGCAGTGGGCTGATATCTTTACCAAGCCATTAAGTGGTGATAAATTCCTTGCAATTCGAAGAGAATTAGGGCTGTTCAGTCTTGATGAGATCTCTATTTCCTAAACCAATGTCGTCAGATCTTTTCATCTTTCCATTTTTCTCTAACTCCCTCTAAATCAGGGATTCTTCTCGACTTCCTTCCTTACCTGTCTGAAGAGAGACTCCTTAAAAGGGTCTAGCAGCCTCGTTCTTACTCTACTTCTAAACTGTCGAGTCCACTACATCCTTTCTCCTCACAGTCTTTTCATCATGATGCCTAACAACTCACAAGTGCGTGCTGCCGTTGAATTCAACAACCAGGGCTTTCGCACTGGTCGCGAATATGCCAGATACCTATGCAGCTTTCGCAACCGTTCCATCCAACCCTCTTTCACTATTCAGCCAGCCGCCTTCAACAAGTATGGTATGGATCTTCCTTCCATGCTTGCTGGTCTCGGGTGGGGTTCCTTGCTTGAAGACCAACGTTTCAGCTTTTGTCCTGAGGCAGTCAGGATGTTTTATGTCAGCATGAAACGAGGGCCAGGGCCTGAACCATCCTTTTTCACCACTGTGGTTTATAACCACAAAATCAAGGTTACCCCAGATCTGCTTGCCTCTGTTCTGTCACTGCCTCATACTGGTCTTCGGGCTGGGTTTGATGGGGAGTTTCACGAACTTGGGTTCGACTTCATGACCTCCTTGTCTCTTCTCACTGAAGATACAGGACGGTATTTTCCCAACCATCTCGATGCTGGTCGTCTACCTGATGACCTGAAAGTATTTCACTGGTTTCTTACTCGCTGCTGGTTACCTCGAGATCTGAGGAGCTCAGCCCTGCTGCATCCCACTGATCTTTGGATCATGTCTCACGCTCGTGCTCGTCAGCCACTCAGCTTTGCCACCTTGGTTTTCTGTCACATGCTTAGGTTTGGCGATGGAGGCTATAGTGGGAATCTGCCTTTTGGTCCTCTGATCACGCGTCTGCTGTACAGGCTGCAGTTTGATCTGCGTGACAAGGTAACCATCTGCAACATCCATGAGGATCTTCGTCCGAACCACATTCTCAACCGTCTGGATGCTGACGTTGGTCGTCGGAAGCTCGTCACTGGCTCAGGGGGAGGAGCTGGTGAGTTTCCTGCTCCGCTTGGAGACTCTCTCGCTCTGGTGCCTGCACTACTTAAGGCAGCTGTTTCAGCCATCAATACTGAAGTAGTTAGGCTCAAAGAGGCTGAACCAAGTCAGGATGGTCTAACCAGAGCATCGCTCGGGTTAATGTTGTGCAAAGAGCGACTGGAGCTTATGCAGTCTCCACAAGGGGAGCCAGAGGATGAGGCAGTACCTGCTCCTGAAGATTTTGATCCCATGTCCTCTGATTCTGAAACTGACGACGATATCTCAGACTACGATTCACCTCCCAGTTATCCCTTTTAGATCTTGATAGGAAGTGTTTGTCTTAGGGGGAGTTGTCTTTGCAGTGTTTGGTTGTTGCTTGAATGTTCTTCCTTTTTGCTTATGTCAAGTGTTCGTTGAATGTTTGCTTTTATGAAACAAAATAAAAATGCCACTTTCGAGTGTTTCATTTATTTCATAAGAACAGACTGCACCAAACGTTTGTTGAGTGTGTGCAGGAAGACTACACAGCGATGGGAGCCATTGACTAGCTTAGGGGGAGTATGTTGTGAGAAGCTTGTCAATGCTCGGTCATGCCAATTATAAATTCATATGCGAAGAAGGAAAGTTTTTGAGCAACGGTTGAAACCATCCTGATTAGGAAAGTGTGTGAAAATCAAGAAAGGAAGATCGGATCATTCAAGACGAGATCACGGGGCAACGGTCGTCAGAATTAGACTATTTAGCTAATTGTAACTTCATGGACAGAGCACTTTTCCAGACTCTGTCTTTGCAAGCACAAAAGAAAGTACTGGTGTTGAGAGATAGAGTGAGAAGGGAAGAGTCAGTAGCAGTTGGGGAAATTGCTGGTAGAACAGCGGGTGTTCTTGATTGGGTTTGCGGGGAGTGAACTATTTCTGAGTCTGATCGGTGACGGAGTGTTGCCAGGAGATTGACTGTAAAGGGTTTGGCTATCGTGATTATAGTGGAACGTCGAAGATCTCGATTGAGATACTTCGACCGTGGATTAGTCGGTACTGAATCAAACAGTACCGGATACCACGTAAAAATTGTGTTCTTGCAGTGTACATTTGATCTAGCTTAAAGTTGCTTGGTGTAGTTGGTTACCCTGTTTTGCAGACATCTCGGACGAACAGAGAAGGCAGTCGAAGTACAGGGTTGAATCAGAATTGGTCTGATTGAAGGAGCAAGGAGCGGGCTTGGAATCGGACAGCGGGCCTGACCCGGGCTAAAGCCCATTTCTCGTTTACTTTATTTCAGGCCCATTCAATTCAGTAATTGTTCCTTTTGATTTTTGCCACTGACGTTTTGCAATCGACTTCAACCTTTCCCAAATTGATTTTCGCAGAACCAAATTAGGGTTTCCTTCGAGAGAAGCAGGAGAGAATCTCGCGCTCGATCCACCAACACGAATATCATTCTTTCATGGTAAAAATTGATTATGTATCTATCATTAAAAGCAACTTTCACGTTGTCTTTTAATAAAGAATAAAATTTTTTTTTTGTAAAGATGTATGATTCTTTTAGAGAATTGTGAACATGTGTGTTACTGTAGAAGAATCCAAGTTTGTAAATCTGTTAGTTGCCTTACATTGTTAGTCATTTACTTCTATATTTGTCATGTTTCAAATACATTGTGAGCTTACTATAAATAATTTTAGTACTCGCTTAGATAATTTATAGCCAAATAAAAACAGACATGCATGGTAGAGTCAACCACATTAACCAATTATAAGTGATCATATGACTACTTGAGTACTTAATAACAAAATAGTCAATATTTATAGATGAACATTCGCTTCACTATATAAAATTTCTAGATTTCTTATGTATCTATGTCAACCCCTTATAAGTTATAAGCATTCAGTTTTTAGCTGAACTCCATTCTTCTTTTTATTTTATTATTTTTTTCATTCGTAGATCTAACATATTGAAAAAATAGTTTAATTTTAATTTAAAAAATTTCAGTCATGTAATTAGAATATTCCATCTAGCAAACAAAATCTCTTTTATTTTTAGTTCCCCTACTATTCTTAATTTATCCTAATTTATTTCGTTTTTATTCTGAGTGTAGATTTTTTTGTGCCAAAATATCAAATTTTGCGTGATTTACACAAAGATATCAATTTTTTGATATATCAAAATAAAAAAGCAAAAGACATGGTCACCATTATATACTCACAAGTCACAATCCTATTCGGAAGCTACTAAACTATACTAATATTTTCAATTTTATATCATCATAAACGAATAACTCATGTCCTACTATAACTCATTAGACAAGTTTCATCTTCTACAAAAGTGCTAAATCATAACGATATTGTTTAGTTTTGTACCAAAATAATATACAGCAATTTTATAAATATTAAAAAATTATCGTGAGGCACAAACCAACTTAACAAAATAATTGTCTACACTCTCCTTAATTAGCTAGGGATATAGGAGTGAATGAAAATTTAAATATTTAATTTTTTGCTCAAAAACTTTTCATTCTCCACTTGAAAATAAAGGGTTTGAGTTTTCATAGAAAACCGCAAGGTGAGGTGGCGGTTTTTGAAAAAGATGGTAATTTTGGAATTTTATGGGGTTGGGTGGTATTTTGGAATTCTTTTTTTAAATAGTGGTATTTCTGGAAAAAGTTCTCAATATAGCTACATATTGATAAAACTATGAATTAAGTACCAAAAATAATTTGTTTTCATATAAACTATAGACAACAAATAACTAAATGACCCATTTTTTTTATTATATCCTTTATAATTGAAAAAGGCGAAGAATCCAGTACAAAATCATGGAGTTATATCTTCCTGCAAAATCTAATCCAAAGGTTATAATTTGATAGGGAAAGATCTAATTGTCCATATCATAGAGGGTTAAGGAGGAATTTAGGGGAGCTTGGTGGATTTTTCTAAGCAGCTGACCGTATTTTTTGTGGGCTAGCGCGATTTCAAAATTTTTTGCATAGATATATCAGAATTTTTATGCTCTACAAGATGATATCCTTTAAAAGATTTCTTGCATTCCCAATTCAATATTCATGATCTTGACAAGCTTCGTTATTTGTTGGGATTAGAGAATGCTCGATCACAAGGGGTATACATATCGGCCATAAGAAGTACTATACTGATTTATTGGAGGATAATGGATATGCAGATACCAAGCTAGTTGTCGCCCTCATTGACATGAAAACTAGACTATCTACTGATGATGGACCATTGCTGAAAGATGTGTCTCTTTTTCAGGAAAATTGTTGGATGATTCACTACCTCACCATCACACGTCATGATCTCACATTTGTAGTCCAAAATTTATGCAAATATGAAGATACTCCCACAGTTACTCATATGCATCTTGCTTACGAAATGTTCAAGTACCTAAAGAAGGCTTCAGGTCAAGAATTGTTCTACTCGTCCATGTCAGATCTTCTTTTTTCGTGATTTAGTGATTTTGATTGGGCTTCATGCCTAGATACAAGATGATCGACTACATGATGTTTCATTGGGTAATGTATGATCATTTGGAAATTCAAGAATTAGAAATTTCTTTCTCGTTCGTCATCTTAAACTGAGTATAGGGGTCTTTCTCAACTTGCTTGTGAAGTTGTATAGGTGAAGGGACTTATGCAAGAACTACATATTGATCATCCAACCTTGTAGAACTCTTATGTGACAATCGACCAGTGATATACATTGCTAAAAACCCAGTGTTCCATGAAAAGACGAAACCCATTGTGATTAATTGTCATGTGGTTTGTCAATTCCTCAAGTCCAAAATTGTCTCTCTCATCATCTTGGTGCCGAAAACCTGATAGCATATATGTTCACAAAGGGACAGAGCATATTTCGTCTTCAATTCATGTGCAAGCTGAATATACATAACTGTACACACTTCAAGAGATTAACATGTATATATACTGGGTACTGTAGAATTCACCACATATATATATTTTTAAGGGTTTCCCCACAAATATAATTCTCTTATAAATTTCTTAACAACCAGTCTATGATACTAGAAACAATAACACTGTCTACACCAAATAATTATGCACCTACCACCTTGGTCAAACTCTTTATTAATTACTCTTCTCAATGGATTGCCTGGAAAAATTAGTGACCTTTCTTAATAATCTGATAAGTTCTTATATATAAATAAATGGATGAGACTGCTATACTGCTTGAGTGTATATGATATTCAAGCTATTTTTGGTGGAATATCTTTATCTACCCTATGAATTAAATCGATTTTGGGATATGATACTAAATCTTAACTTTTAATGGATAAATCCTAGATCCTGATTCCTAAATCTGAACTCGAACTCAATTTAACAAAAAACAATAATTGACCATTTAAATTGATTGAAAACTCATCAAAATATATCTAGCTGTCAGATCACCTGGATGGAGTCTTTACCGTATATATATATAAAAATTAACTATCCGATATGAAATGATCATTCTCTCAAAACAAACGGATCATCATTTTTATTATTAATCACATTAGCATAAGGATATGAAATTCAAACATATACACATGCATCGTCGGCAACGAACGATCCTTAGAGTGCATGTTCCGGAAAACGACCGCAACCCAGCAAGAACCACCTAGTCTTGTCCATTTTTGGCTCCATATTATTTTCGCAAATAGCACGTAACGTAGAAAACCTAGGAAATTAATTCATTTACTTTTATGTATTGTTATTGTCGATCGTGATTCGTGAAACATAATACATAGCAAACATCAACTCGAGAAAAAGGCTAAACAGCTTACCACTTTATTAGAGACATATCGCAAAATGTTTCTTCTTCTGCTTAACCTCTCCCTTTGTACGTATTTCTTTCTCCTATTACAAAAATAGCTTTCCATTAATTTTGTAATACAAAAATATAGGAATTAAAAGAGCGTACACAAACAATGAAATTAATGAGATATAAAATATATATAGGTGTTATACCTTTTCTTCACTTGTGTAATACCTTTATTCCATTTTGAGAGGACTATTAACTATTAAGAGGTTATTTGTTTTAGGTTGGGTGACAAACCCAGCTCCACGGTAACCCATCCCTACCCGATAAAGCGGGTATAATTTATTTTTGATGGATTTTAGGTTGAGTGTAGGTTTAACCTCTTTTGAATAATTGGTGGGTTAGATTTGAATTTTTCCAAAACTCAACACACTTTCCACTCTATCCACAACCAGAAAGAAAGATGATGTCATTTTATATCTAAACTTAACACTATGAATAATTTGTAAGTGTTATTAGAATGCAATTAGTATTTATGTTAATATATGTGAATAAATT